CCCACCAACGTCTTATGCAGAGATGAGCAACGGGTACCCAGACCCACACCCACCCGCACCCACCCCACCCACAAGACATTGGGTCAGGTGTGGGTCTTGATAAGCTAGCATGAGTAGGATGAGGGTGGGTCAAGGCGAGCAAACCTGGGTGGGTGATGGGCGGGTCAATGTTAGGCCAGGGTCACCCGAATGGGTGGGTGACAAGCGGGTGAACGCTAGGCCTGGGTCACCCGACCCACAGACCCAGGACAACCCATAAGAACCCTCCCCCCGACCCCCCCCCCCCCCCCCCCCCCCCCCCCCACCCCCCACCCCCCCTTGTACATATTTCCCAGCTGCGGTCCATCTGTGGACTTCAAACRTCGGTATATTTGTGGACTTCAAAGGTTGGAGGCGCAGGAAACGGAAGGTCTACACCCTGGGGCCCCTGGGAAAAAAAGTTATCGTCCTTGAAAAAAAGAGTCACGGTAGTGGCAACTAAAAATTTGGGGTGCTTGAAAAAATGTGTCACGCTCTACTGGTGGCAGTTGGACCACGGCCCAGACAACGGGATGTTTGCTCCCATGAAAACAACGGGGATCGGACCTGACCACAACAAGTGGCAAGCCTTAGGTTCACTACCCAATTTCAAACTTGTGGAGCGATTCGAATTTCTGCAAGCAGAGATGCTTCAAAGTTTTGCGTCGTCGTCCAAGGATGTCATGTTGCTATGGTGCGTGCAAATATTCAAAGGGACTAAGACAATGAGGAATGGGCGGGTGCGGGTGGAAAATAATTAGGTACCGGGTGCGGGCGGGTAATTTTGATCTCGCGGGTGTGGGTGGGTCATGGTGAAGGTTTTTTACAGGTGACAGGCGGGTTGGGTGTGGGCGGAAATTTTCAAAAAAACACTCGGGTGGGTTGGGTCGCCTTGAGATGTTTTGTTTTTGTTTTTTTTTAGGGCGGGTGGTGCTTAAAAAATTATGGGCGGGTTGGGTGAAGTGCCAATTCCAAAAAAAAATGCTCATCTCTGGTCTCATGCCAGCGCAAGCTGCTGTGGTTGTCGTGTTTGACATGACAATCATGTCGAACACGATAGCAACGACGTCTTTCCGCAGGCATGAGCCGTCTGTAGGTGAGCTCCAGTGCTGGACTGGCTTTGGTTGTCGTGTTCAACATGACAACCGCCCACAGACGTTTGATGACAGCGCAAGGAGTTGTGGTTGTCGTCTCCGGGCCCACAGTGTCGTGTGGCCGACTTTACCTCTTAGGCATAGACAACACTTCAGAGATGAAACATCGTGAACGACGACGACTCTTGGGAATAAGAAGTTTGTGGCCGGTTGTCGTGTTCAACACGACAACCAGCGTAAGTGCTGCACTGCCATTGGTTGTCGTGTTCAACACGACAGCCATCCCCAACGTCCAATGCCCGATGCAAAATGTTGTGGTTGTCGAGTTCGACACAACCATGCTGCCACGACGTGTTGTGTAGTCGTGAGCGTGATACAGGCGGGTACGTTTCCCTTGAGCTGCGAAACGACGAAGCCACACCAGCGGCGGTTGTCGTGTTCGACATGACAACCATGACGGAGACAACGGTCTCTGCAAGTCATTATCGGTCTCGAAAAGGCGGGCCCGCGCACTCCAATGTGATACCCACGTCCGCCGCACAGAAGTGTAATGCCCGCGGGCGGCTAACATCTTGGTCATCGTGTTAAACATGACAATCGTCGCCAGAGTCGTGTTCATGTGAGCAGTTTCAGTCGCCGTGATGAACCCGACAACCGTCGCTTACGACAATACCCACGACCTATTCAACCAAGTGCTCCGTTACCAGATACTGTCGGGGAGCGACGACCGTCGTGTTGAACACGACAACCGCCGACATGATTGAACATAGCCATCCACATACAAGTGGTTCGTTACCTCTGTCTGCGGTGCCTTAGGTTGATACCAGATTCATCTCCGTAACATTTCAACCCTAGGCTATGTCTGTCGTGTGTAGGAAGTTGTCGACTGTCTGCATGGTCGGCATGTGCAGTGCAATTTCGTGTGAGCTTGATTGTTTGCATTGTCCGGACGAGGACAATTGTTCTCTTCTGCGTCGGCCTTGTACTGTTGTTGATTGTTGCACTTGTGTCGTGCAGGGCGCGTCGCTGTCACGATGGACATCTCTCACTGGATGACCCCTGTAGTTTGGCGTGAGCGAAAGGCACACCCTTTCCCCCCTTGCGCGCTGCACGTCTGTCGATGTCGAGAGCGCACAACCGTCGTCGGTGCGAGTATGGCGGACTTCGATTCTGATCCTTGGATGACGGTCGTCCTGTTTATCGATGAACATTTAGATTTCTCGGAAGAGTATCAGTGGGAGAACATGATTACAAAGTGCCCGTGGGCAGACGACTATAAGTTCGCCAACATGTTGGACTTCATAAGTTATATTCCTGTGCCATCCGATGTGCTAGGTCCCGTGCATTTGCGTCAGTTGTGTACGCAGTTGAAACTGAACCACCTTCATAGTGTTCTAGACTGCAAATACGTGACTGCCTCGCCGCGCACATGGTGCTGTGTTATGAAGGAGTTACTCGACTGTGCGCGACATTCACAGTTCCTCGATCAGTATCCTTTGCGATCTCCTGGTTTGTTGCCTCGAGCAGTTTCATATTGCTGTGTCAGATTGCGTCTGGGATACTTCACCTTTTGTAGGGTCCTCTGCATTGCATGTTCGAACAGGACTAGGAACCTGATTGACGCTGTTGTGTATGTGTCCAGGAATCAATTGTTTATGTCCGGAAGGGATATGAGTTTAGTTCAAAGAGAAGTCAATGGGAAATTGGATATCGTCGTTGGTGGCAAGGTGGACGACATCGACGCATGGCGCAAGGTTAAGAAAAAAGTGGTCTCTATTCGGGATGCTATAGGCAGTTCTCTCGTCGGAAACTCCGGCTTCATACACATGAAATAAATTTCAGTGTTTGCTAAGACGGCTACCGCCCAGGAGCCACAATATCTGACCTTTGGATCGATATTTCACAATTTGGATGGGTACAATGGTGGGAGCGTTCCCCGTCATCGTTAGATGTTCTTCGTCATTCCCCGTCGTTGTTAGATGTTTTCCGTCATTAGATGCGTTTCACAATTTGTCATTCCTGTTGTGGTTGTAGCTGGCATCGTTCAGTCTATCTGTTCTTCAGTTCTTCTGCTAGTCCGACGCTTCCATTGTCAGTGCTTTGAAAACGCTCTGTTTTGCGCTACATTCCGTCCGCTATTGGCAACCCTTTTTCTCGTGGTGCCATGAACATAGAACCATTGTCGCGTCTCCATTTGTTCAAAGTACATCATCATGGATTTTGCGTTGAGCGAGAAGTGTACAGTGTCTGATTGTTGTCCTCATCATGTATTTCGATAGCCTGCGAAGTCACGAATGTCGTCCAATGAGCCTTTCTGCTTATACTGTGGATTTGACATATCTCGCTTGCATGTCGTCCATTGAGACTTTCTGCTAATACTGTGGATTTGACACAACTCGCTTGAATTTGTAAGGGTTGGTCCAACAATGCATGTTGTGCTGTATTATGAAAAGTTAAAACAATGTATTGGAAAACCGCCTTGTGTTCCCATTTCCGCCCTGCATGTGTCCTTTCCGATGTACATGATGTTTCTTCCGGAGGACTCTTGTTCTTCGACGCGCCAAATCCTTCTGAGGAGAGTGTTATCGTGTTCGACACGACGACCCCAGAAGGAGAGTGTTACCGTGTACGACACGGCGACCCTGCAGGTCGGGAGGGCACCTATGTCCGGGATGGGATGGTGTAGAAAACTAAGCCATCCTCCTAAGAAGAATCGTCAGAAGGGACTAAGTCATCCTTCTAAACGACGATCATTGTGTTGAACTTGATAACCAGACCAAGTGATCCTCCTAGACGACGACCGTCGTGTTGAACACGACAACCAGCGATGAGTATCGGATCGAACACGATGATGATTTTTACTAGTCGATAACTAGTCCTCCTAAACGAAGACCGTCGTGTTGAACAGAACAACCGACGACGAGTGCCGGAGCCAACACGACGGTGCTCCTTGGTAGGTCGTTCTCGTTGGGCCGTCAATATTCTAGACTGCACACCTGTGGAAAACTAAGCGATGCTTAAGAAAAATCGTTTGCACACCTGTGGAAAACTAAGCCATCCTCCTAAGAAGAATCGTCGGAGGGCACTATCCTTCTAAACGACGATCATCGTGTTGAACCAGAGTGCATGATCCTCCTAATCGACGACCGTCGTGTTGAACACGACAACCAGCGACGAGTGTCGGGTCGAACACGACGATGCTCCTCGGTAGGTTGGTCTCGGTGGGCCGTTAGGATTGTAGAT